TATCTCTGACTTTCAGCTAGATCGCATCTAACTCTATCCGATACGGGTAATCATAATGTCTTGCTAGAGATCGCTTATGATTTGTAAGGCGAGATTGGATCTCGGGTTTAGTGTCGTATTTGGAGGAGTCTAAAGGGTCACACACATATAGGATGACATGTATGAACAGGAAGGATCGTACGGGAAAACTCAGATTTTTCCCAATTTTGGGTCTGGCCCAGACCTGACCAAGAGTTGGTCTGGCAGACTGGTTTGACTTGGAGACACGGAAGCGATTGGCCGGAAAAACTGAGCTGGTCCGGAGCTGACCAAATGTTGGTCTGACGGACTGGGTCAGTCAGTTGAAATTTTGCGTGTTAGTTCAGACCTTGTTGGTTCGGCAGATTGGAATTTTGGTCCGGTAGGCCAGACCAGTCAGACGGGACCTGTTCGTGTTACCTCAGACCTGGTTGGTCTGGCGGACCAGAATCTTGGTACGTCGGATCGAGGATATATCGCCTCTGTCAACAAGACTATGTTCTTGGTCTGGCAGTGGCAGACCAAATGTTGGTGAGCTCTGGACCAAGAGCATGGCAGAACTATTTTCGCGGTTTTTGTACGTTTTGGTCTAGCGGACCAAGAGTTGGTCAGCTCTGGACCAAGCGACAATCAGACCCAAAGTGCGATTTTCTCACCTTTTCTTGGTGGGAAGCAGGTGGGACGAAACCACTCTCTCATACACTCATTCTCAGACCCTTGGAAGCATCTAGAGATTGTGAAAAACTCTCTCAAACTCAAGAAGGTGTTCTTGAGCTCATACACAAGAGATTTGATCTTTTCAAACTCTAGTAAGCAAGCTTCCAAGTGTTGGAAACCATCCCAAGGGTATGGACTATTCAAGAGGGTGTTGGCTCTTTCAACACCTTAGCTGTGATCATCTAACCACCTTCAGATTGTGAATCTAAGGATTCAAAGGTTAGTTTTATGTTCTTGAAGCTCTTCGTCGGAATCGGTTGGTCCGTGGACGGTTCAAAATAGTTTTGAACGCCATTTCCGCTGTGCAAACCCACGGACCAAATCTGAACTCAGTTGTGAACCGGTGTGTGAGGATCCCATGCGACCCAGTAAGCAAACCATTAGCATTATTAAGATCTGCAAAATATGGCGAGAAATAACTTGGAATTACACACAAGAAAGGTTTGCAAACCTAACGAAGCATTTAAAATACCTAAAAATGGTTTCCTATTTATCAACTAGAAGTAAAAAGAAAAGACACCAGAGCAATTATATATAAGTTCTACTGACCTTGGAGACTTCTACCCCGATGATATCTTTCCTTGTGGAAAGGGATTGGCCAACTGGCTCAGTAGAGGAAACATAATAAGTAATAGAACAAATTACCCGGTATACGACCCCTAAAATATAAAAGGAGCAAGTGAGCTCAAGCACAGTTTCATACTTCACAGCAATACCCACCGACCTTTGATAAAAGTTGGGCCCAGGTTTAGCATGGTTTCTTTCAACACAATTCCAAGATTTTGCCCAGAAACTTCTACATTTCTGCCCTTGTCTGATACAGATGTGTGTACTCTGATAGTAGCAAACATGAAAGTGAAGAACATCCACACATTAGCAAATAAATTAAACCATTTTAGTGCATCTTTCAAGACAAGAATGAATAGAACTTGAACATCTTCCCAGAATATACACTATAGATGACGCCGATCCTAACTAAACTTGGGACTAGAGATGTCAAATGGGTCTAAAGCCCACGAGACAACCCTGGACCAAACCTGTTTTTACCGAGCTGGTTTAAATGAATACAAGCCTAGATAAAAATGGGCTTAACGGGTTGAACCTTCAGGAGCCAAGCAACCCACGAGCCAACCATAACGGGCTACGAGCCAGCCCATGAACGAGAAAGATATGGAGAAGAAGTTGCAAATTTCTTCACCAAATGGCTCACAAATCTCTAAAAAATGACTTAGATCACTTGTTTTTTTATTGTGTTAGGAGGCCAATGGATGTTTATACACTCCAAACATGATGAAAAGTGACAAAAAAAACAGGAGTTTTCATCGACCGAGTGCGTTCGTTCGCGTAAACAGTCGTACAGAATGTCCGATGATCATCGTCTAAAGGCGATCGATCGATTGTCATTTTAAAAACGCTAATGGTAACCATGATCTTGTCATCATCAACTGACGATGGAGTGATCGGGACACCACGATCGACCGATCGTCTTGTCCATCGTGATTCTCTATACCTTTTAGTGTAAATCCAAGACAATGATCGATCGGTCGTCCTTCGACAATGGCGAGATCATTGTCTCTGTAAATTTTAGTGTACTATCGTATATACAATCGATTTATCGTGTAATTTTTTCTACAAGTTACAGATTCGAACGTAAACTATTCCGACAATCCTTAACACTTTAACCAATTAATGCTACAAAACCATTGAGAAATCTCTCTTTTATCTCTGTTTTCATTATGATTTTCTGTTTAGTTGTTGTTTTTGAGTTTTCCATGAATTGTGAGTAGTTTTATCATTGTAGGTTAAGGATTAAAGTTGGTAAGGATCATGTGTTCATAAACTATTTTTGCAACTATGAATTTGATAATTTAATGAATGATGTTTAATGCTTTGAATCTTATTGGCCACTTATTTATTGATGCTAGAATTTGATTTGTATAGGAATATGGAATTTGATTCGGAAAACATCATTCGAATATATGGTTTTCGCATCATAAGATGGTTGTACCGTTTAGAAATTATGATAGTGAATTCAATGCTCGTAGAAGTTTTCAATCGTTTGGAATGGAAGATCAGTAGATTAATCTTCTAAGAAGTGAGGTGAGACTCGGAAGAGTAATCCTTTACGATAAAAACTTGAAATTCCCGATTAAAAACACTAGTTGTCGAGATATATTCGTAGAAATGATCCTTGCGCAGTTCGAAAATCCCGACACCTACAATGACTTGTTAAATTGTGTTTTAACCATAGCTTGTATTTATTTTGAGTGTTGCTTACATTCAATTACCATCACCATCAAAAGTATCGTTCCCGACCGAAACTGAGTAGAATCCGAGTTTGTCATCGCTAAACGCTCATGTGTCCTTGTGTTCAATCCTAGATACTACGATTAACTCGTGCACTTGCAATAGTTGTGTCTAGGAAATAAAACGAGATTAGATCTCTCCTAAATCGACATCAGATTGTACCTGTGAATCTTAAAGGTATTGAATTGGATCGATTGGGATGAGTTCTATTAGAGACACCATGGAAATGCTTAAGTTGCGTTGATGTCTCAGTGATTAGGCAGATGGAGTTTGGTCCGTTTTCTTGGTGTCAGACTCCGATGTTTTCGACTGTCTGATTGGTTCATTCACGAAGAATACGCTTCTCGCATACTTGTATCCGATAAAATATCTATGGGTTTTTATCGCATTATCTTTTCAAGATTGATTTTTGCATTCTTTCAAAATCAATCTTGAGGGGAATGTTGAAATAGGAAAATAAATATGTGATTGAAGGAAATATTGATTTTAAGATATGATTAGAAATAATAATGGACATAATATTATATCAAATATTGTGTATCGATCTTATTTATTTCTATTTCTTTTTTATTTGTCTCATAGTTTTCCTATAAATATGTGAGTCATTTTCATTGTAATTCAACAAGAAGAAGAAGAGATGTAGCAATAAAGTAATTCCGTTTATTTTCGTTTGTCTTATTATGTTTCCGCATTTTATTTTTCTACACTCTCGACCATACTTTACATAACCGAGGAAACCATTGTAACTATACCATAGATGAAAACGATAAGATATAAATATTTAAGCTAAAGAAGAATTGGATGCATTAAACATTATAATTTTCACAAAACATAGTGATATTATGTGTGTAATATATATATATATATTGATAGATACATGCAAGGTACCAAATTATATCATTTTAATTTTCAAATCATGATATAATAATAATAATAATTTGAACATTTGTGTAATATAGATATTTTTGGAATCTGGAAATCAACGAATAAAAAGTTGACACGTCACTAACGGGAAAGATGAGGACCCAACTCACGCATCAGACAAATGTTTTGTTGTTTTTATTTTAGAGGCGGTAGTTTTCGCGTTGTACGAGTGAAATGTTCGTCGTTTCATCGTCCTCGGGGATGATTTTTGTTGGGTTGTTAATGGGCCCTTGCATGTTTCGGCCCATGAATGGTTCTCCATTTTGCCTGATCGTGTCATGGAATATGTGATGCCACTGTTTCGCCTTTTTAAAATTATGAACAACCTTCAAACACGTAGAAGAGAAAACAGTGTCCCGGGAATACATTTATTTCCCACAATGGTATGCCCATTTAATTTGGAAAAAAAGAATATATATATATATAATATTATTTTAGAGAATGCAATGTTACCAATACAAAGAGATGGACCAATATATGTGTGTTACCATTGTAACTATACCATGGATACAAACAATAAGGTATAAACATTTAAGTTAATTAAGAATTGGATGCATTAAACATTATAATTTTCACAAAAACATAGTGATATTATGTGTGTAATATATATATACACATATATATAGATACATGTAAGGTTCCAAATTATATCATTTAGATTTTCAAATCATGATATAATAATAATTTTACATTTATTTTATTTTAAAATTTTATTTTTATTATATTTTTTGTTATATTCTCATTTATGTCTTCATTTTAGGAATAGATTTTAACAAGTTTATTTAATAAAATATATTTAAATTATTTTGTATAAAACATTATTATTTTTTTATAAAATAAAATATTATTATTGTAATGTGAGTATGTGTGAAAGAAATATAGGAAACCAAATTCATAGCTATATACAACATAATACTGATTTTATAGTGATTTAATTTTACACACGTATTTTTTCTTTATCAAATAAGTAGTTTATATCATTTTCTATAATATTTATATCAACAAGTTTTACAAATATATATATATATATACACACACACACGAATAATTCGCTGATAAGTCCAGTAATATAGAATCATTGAAATGGGGAAAAGAACATGTGGGACTCTTTCCTTGTCAACCACGGAGAAAGAAGAACAGAAATGGAAGCGAGGGAGAGAAATGGAAGACGTCCCCAATTTGCAATTGAGGAAAGTGGAAGGTTATTATTAAGAGCTTCAAGTCGTGGCGAAGGGCAATTCGGCGTTAGGGTTTGTTTTGGATCTCTCTCTCTCTGGTTGTCTTCGTCGACAACAATGTCTCTGCTTGCCAAGCTCTCGGTTCGCAACGGGCTCCTGGGCGTGGGGCAGAACAAGGTATGTTAGCCCTATCTGTGGTTGACTTGTAATCATCTGTTGTTTTCTGGGTTGTATGGCTGATGGAGTTTTGATGCCCCAACGAACGACAGGTTCGCATGTTGTCGACATTGACCCCTTATCTCCTTCTGGACAGGAATGTGGTGGGAAAGGCTTCGTCCGGCGGAAAGGCCATCAATTGCAACCTGTACGATCCGAGGAAGGGAGAGACGGTCAAGAGCCCAGCCTTGGAATTGTCAAAGGAGCTGCAGATGATAGGATCGTCGAGGGGATGGGTGGCTCTAATGAACGAGAGTGATTCCACCGTGCGTCTCACCGACATGTTAGAATAATCTTGTATGAGAATATTTTATTTTATGTTTAAATAATGTTTTGTTGATAATTTGCCCTTCCTCGGATCGTACAGGTTGCAATTGATGGTCTTTCCGCCGGACGAAGCCTTTCCCACCACATTCCTGTCCAGAAGGAGATAAGGGGTCAATGTCGACAACATGCGAACCTGTCGTTCGTTGGGGCATCAAAACTCCATCAGCCATACAACCCAGAAAACAACAGATGATTACAAGTCAACCACAGATAGGGCTGACATACCTTGTTCTGCCCCACGCCCAGGAGCCCGTTGCGAACCGAGAGCTTGGCAAGCAGAGACATTGTTGTCGACGAAGACAACCAGAGAGAGAGAGATCCAAAACAAACCCTAACGCCGAATTGCCCTTCGCCACGACTTGAAGCTCTTAATAATAACCTTCCACTTTCCTCAATTGCAAATTGGGGACGTCTTCCATTTCTCTCCCTCGCTTCCATTTCTGTTCTTCTTTCTCCGTGGTCGACAAGGAAAGAGTCCCACATGTTCTTTTCCCCATTTCAATGATTCTATATTACTGGACTTATCAGCGAATTATTCGTGTGTGTGTATATATATATATATATTTGTAAAACTTGTTGATATAAATATTATAGAAAATGATATAAACTACTTATTTGATAAAGAAAAAATACGTGTGTAAAATTAAATCACTATAAAATCAGTATTATGTTGTATATAGCTATGAATTTGGTTTCCTATATTTCTTTCACACATACTCACATTACAATAATAATATTTTATTTTATAAAAAAATAATAATATTTTATACAAAATAATTTAAATATATTTTATTAAATAAACTTGTTAAAATCTATTCCTAAAATGAAGACATAAATAAGAATATAACAAAAAATATAATAAAAATAAAATTTTAAAATAAAATAAATGTAAAATTATTATTATATCATGATTTGAAAATCTAAATGATATAATTTGGAACCTTACATGTATCTATATATATGTGTATATATATATATTACACACATAATATCACTATGTTTTGTGAAAATTATAATGTTTAATGCATCCAATTCTTATTTAACTTAAATGTTTATACCTTATTGTTTGTATCCATGGTATAGTTACAATGGTAACACACATATATTGGTCCATCTCTTTGTATTGGTAACATTGCATTCTCTAAAATAATATTATATATATATATATTCTTTTTTTCCAAATTAAATGGGCATACCATTGTGGGAAATAAATGTATTCCCGGGACACTGTTTTCTCTTCTACGTGTTTGAAGGTTGTTCATAATTTTAAAAAGGCGAAACAGTGGCATCACATATTCCATGACACGATCAGGCAAAATGGAGAACCATTCATGGGCCGAAACATGCAAGGGCCCATTAACAACCCAACAAAAATCATCCCCGAGGACGATGAAACGACGAACATTTCACTCGTACAACGCGAAAACTACCGCCTCTAAAATAAAAACAACAAAACATTTGTCTGATGCGTGAGTTGGGTCCTCATCTTTCCCGTTAGTGACGTGTCAACTTTTTATTCGTTGATTTCCAGATTCCAAAAATATCTATATTACACAAATGTTCAAATTATTATTATTATTATATCATGATTTGAAAATTAAAATGATATAATTTGGTACCTTGCATGTATCTATCAATATATATATATATATTACACACATAATATCACTATGTTTTGTGAAAATTATAATGTTTAATGCATCCAATTCTTCTTTAGCTTAAATATTTATATCTTATCGTTTTCATCTATGGTATAGTTACAATGGTTTCCTCGGTTATGTAAAGTATGGTCGAGAGTGTAGAAAAATAAAATGCGGAAACATAATAAGACAAACGAAAATAAACGGAATTACTTTATTGCTACATCTCTTCTTCTTCTTGTTGAATTACAATGAAAATGACTCACATATTTATAGGAAAACTATGAGACAAATAAAAAGGAAATAGAAATAAATAAGATCGATACACAATATTTGATATAATATTATGTCCATTATTATTTCTAATCATATCTTAAAATCAATATTTCCTTCAATCACATATTTATTTTCCTATTTCAACATTCCCCTCAAGATTGATTTTGAAAGAATGCAAAAATCAATCTTGAAAAGATAATGCGATAAAAACCCATAGATATTTTCATTGTCTTTTGAAAAATTCATAAACACCAAATTTAGTTCTTTTAGAGAGTATTACCCATTTTCAAATCACTTCGCTTGACTTTGAAGTTCTACCTTTAACTCTTTTTGTCATAGCACCTCGCTTGATCTTAGAGTTTTTAGATTTGACTTCTTTTTGTCATAGCACCTCGTTTGATTTTGGGTTTTTACTCTACTTTGAACGATTTGGATATATGAATATCCAAAACTAAAAAAAAAA